GGCCTATTTTGAGGGAGGGGGAAGAACGTGAACCTCTATGGGTAACACAAAAAATTCTGCATACATATCGTTTCAAGCTTTCTCGCCTGAGAAGAAATGACAACAAGAACGCCACCGCTGTCGGTTTGCTGCAGTATCGTTCGAGCTCGCCAACCAGCCAGTTTCAGAATCTTTTTAACCCCAACCAGGAAGGCGCGAGACACTTACTCCACCTAATAGCTTTGTCATCTCTTAACCTCCACGTGGTTTTCTCCATCCCGGAGCGGCTACAGCGGATAAAGCACGATGCAGGAGACGACAGCTGAGAATACGCAATACGTGCCCTAGACAGCGAAATTCACCAATGTGATGAGCTGACCAGTTTATATTCGTCAGACTCCCAAACACACCACGGCTAACCTCCAAATTATTAACCCGTTCGCTGCATCACATGTGAGCAGAACTACGGAAATACCGATAATCGAACACTTTTAGTCGATGCATGAAGGAATGCACAGAGCCATTAGGTAGAGTAGGTGTCTCACGCCTTCCAGGTTGGGCCCGAAAGACTCAACAACCGNACAACCGGTTGGTTGGAGACATTGAAGGATATGGCAGCGAACCGACAGCAATCGCGTTCTTTTTGTCGTTTCTTGTCAAGTCAGAATGCTTGAAATATATGCAGAGTTCGATTGCGTACTCGGTGTGTTGGCTATAGAGGTTCACATTCACCCCCTGCCCTCAAAGTAGGTCCAATCCGTCCACCTTGAATTTTACCACTAACCTTGTATGCATTGCGAGTTTGGCAGCGATCAGTGAAGTTCGCCTCACTGTATTTCGTTATACGATGATGATAACTTCTAGTTTATGGATACTAGTAAGTTCAAGGGGAGCTGAACGGACGGTAGTACAATACACGACCTTTCAGCTTCGGTGAAGCGTCGCGTCTACGCCAAAGGTGCTTCCGTTCTGCTTTACTGCCACTGGTCACAGAACTACCTAAGTAGGAAAAGCAATCCACTTTAACTAATTCCCGGCTATTTCGTTTCAAAGTGGGACTCGATGACACCCAGTCTGACAGTATCACTTTGCACTTCAGAGATGCAAAGCACATACCGAATTTAGCAACAGAACTTGTTAGTTTATCAAGTGCGCTTTGTCCGTCTTCCGTACAATCAAGCAGACAAACAATGGCGTCAACGTATTGTAGGTCGTAGAGCTTTTCTCCAGCTGTCTATTCAATCCTTACATTTTGGAGACCGCTTGGTGTGTTCTCCAGTATTTCATCGATGACGAAATTGAACAGGAATGGTGAAAGAGGATACCCTTGAAGAACACCGCTGCTAGTGACAAACGACCAATTTAGTTCATTGTAAACCGTTATTCGACTAGATGTATTTGAGTACAGTAACCTCAGTAAGTTAACGTACCTATGGGGTATTCCTTTTTGACGAAAGGAATCCATCAAAGCATCTCGTTCAGCTGAGTCGTTGGTTCCTTTCGTTGGTCAATAGTGGGTGTGACACAACTCAAGGTCCTGGCGCAACGTAAGTATTCGATCAATAGATCCACGATCAGGTCGGAATCCGGCTTGCTGTTCACGAATGTTGATCTCTCTCAGACGTCGAAGTATGATGGAGGTTAGCACTTAGGTGATTGATGATGATAGTAGTATGCGAATGACTGGAAAAATTTCCCTGGAAACACACGACCAGTTTCTTGCCCCAGGTTCTTGCCCCTCGTCAGACATGCGTATCTGGTAATCTTTTGTCAGTTTATTCATATACTTGTACCCAGAAAGTGTATTTTCGTCACAATAACCTTGTTTGCTACACCGGGTGACCATTAAATGGACAGCTCTTTCAAAGCCAGTTCAATGAAGAATCCATGGTATGATTTAATCTTTTGTAGGTGGGTTAGATGCTACTAACCGCGCAACAAACTTGACTTAAACGTCTTTACAGAACATTTCATAATAAGCATTATATATATATATATGTATATATATATATATAATGATACGATTCTCAGGAAAAAGCATACGGCTAATCAATTTGTGAAATACTCGTCAGTTTTTTCTAGCTGAGTTATTCATTTTTATTACACACACTTTATTGTGATGAACCGCAGACGGAGTGGACCTCATAGTTGCAAAGACCTATTGTTCAATGACGGAAACAGGCAACCTAAGCCCCGGGACCTAGAGTGGCGAACCACATAAGGCCCTGCTAGGTCAGGTGATATTGAACCGACGACAATAAAGCTGCCTATCACTCAAGTCAGATGGTGGTGTCAGGGCTCGAACCTCGGACCATAGGGTTCAAAGCACGCCGGTGACAGCGACTACACCACTGCGTCACCAGCACCCGGTTCGGTCATTAATATTATGTCTCGCGAAATCAAGCGTTCCATTGTGCAGTTCCCACTGTCAATCTCCTAAAATCAGCAGCTAACAAGATCATCATGGAAGCTGTATTCAATTGCGTATAACTGCTTCACTTTTCAAGAGAAAACGTGTTCATTATATATGCAAGACTTGACCTTGATAGTGCTAGAAAATGTGCGCAATGACCCATATTAGAATACCTCATGGAAAAAGTAACCAATAAGATTGAGCGAATTGTGTCACTCACGTAACTGTTCGTACATTCCGGCACATTCCACAAAATCTCTGCATTCTTCGTTGGTTTCTTATTGGGTGAATTTGATTCCCAATAGAAATAGGGTGATTTTTAGCAGAAGTTTTGCCATCCAAACAACCCACATTTAAAAGTTTTTAATTTTCGTGTTAGCCTCTTGCATCGGGTTTATTAGTAATCTTCTTCTGGTCTGCTTGAAAAAGATCACAAAAAATAAAGTGACCTTCCGTGCACCAATCTGTCTGTACTTACTGATTTCAATCACCAAAACTCACTCCATTGCTTTACAGATGCAGCAGAAGTGGTAGACACTGCAGCTGGTCCGGTTGAGACTCCACCCGTTGTCGATCCAGTTGAGTTCACTTCCAGTGTTACAACTGTTCCATGCGGTTTTGTTGTCGGTGTAATTGGACGCAATTGGCGGGATTACGTTTGTGCCTATGTGCCAAACGAGTCCGATGCACCGATTGAGACAGGATGGATTTTGGCTACCCCCTGGGATCGCCGTATTCCACGAATCCGTGTGCATACAACTCAGGCATCGAAGCTGTCCCAAGAACGGTACTGTGGCTCGTGTCTTTATGTTACTTTTCACCGATATTTGCTCGCTAGTTTTTAATAGGTCTACGCGACAATCGCTTTCCTGTTCTTTATCGTCTCGGAATTCATAGGAACAACCCGTTCGTTCAACGGGGGCCAAAATGATACATCATTCTGAATAATGAAAACTTGAGCAATTGGACTTACGGTGGCCGCATCGATGTCAGTGAGGAATCCACCACCGAGGCATTTTTCGTTTCCGTTTGATGGATGAGGTCTGGAATAAACAAACTGTGGTGAACTAGTAATGTGTACAATGCAATCTATCATAGTCAATTTTTTAACAGGAAACTTTAAAACCGGATTATTCGATTTGTAGCATCACTGTAAGGGGGCGAAGCACAGCGGCTTGCTAGTTTTTGTACAGTACGCCCATGTACTTGGTTTATGGCTTCCGCCCCAGATCGTTTGGAATGATCCTCGTGTTTCCCCGTTGCAGTTTCGTGGTGCGTATCGACTCCTGGGATGCGGGTTCCACGTATCCACACGGACACTTTGTCCAGTCATTGGGACGCATTGGGGATTTGGAGACAGAAACTCAAACACTGCTGATCGAACACAATTTGGCAATTCGGGCTTTCTCTGATGCACAGGTGCGTCATCTTCTACTATGGTCTTTTTTCTTGCATTGTCAAGTTCATTCGCCTTGGATCATCCGGTTACTGGTGACTATCCGGAACCTGGTTGTTGTTGCATTCATCAGATGCCGAACACTAAAAATAACTAAAAATTTTTCATTTGTCACTCACCTAACCATCAAAACAAGGTGGTGATGGCAAAGTGGTTCAGTCGCTGTCACCGACGGGATTTGGACCCTATGGTCCGAGATTCGAACTCCGCCACCACCACCACCACCCAACTTTGTTGGGTGGTTTGTTGTCGTCCGGTTCAATACCACATCTAACCTAGCGGGGCTTTGTGTGGTTCACCACTCCAAGTCCCGCGGGGCTTAGGTTACCAGTTTCCATTACTGAACAACGGGTCTCCGTAACCGTTGTTTATCGCACAAATGTGTGTAATAAAAAAAGCACCGAGGAAATGGAGTTATTTCCCTTTCAGTTGTTGCACACTTGTCGAATCTGGGCATCGGGTGCATAGGATTTTAATTTGGCCTTTACTGTCGGTTACCATGTCCCACAACACAAGCCCAAAGCTGTTCGAATTAAAACGTTAGCAAAAGCCGCGAAAACTACTACCAGCTTTATGAAACCAGAATTGTGTGCAAAAACAAACAAACAAAAACACTTGTACTCAAACTTCCCTGACCCAAAGCGGACAAAATCCTGCATAAGCGTTGTGATGATGATCCAAATCAATTACCAACACTTACGTAACCCGTTCTTAGCTGAACAAGAAAATCATGGAACTAAACGTGTCCCTATTCCCATCCCCGTTGCTATCATTATTTGACCTCATCTGTTTAATCTCAACACACCCTTTTTTATTACATGAATGTGATTTGAATTGCTTAAGAAGGAACTCACCGCAAAACATATGTTCGTTTATGATCTGTCATTACCGTCTTTTCAAACTAACGGAATGCAAAAGGTTAAGGAGATGCAGTACAACTTCCAAACCGCATTTTATTCACTTTTATACGAAATTTTCACGCTTTTGTGTGTCCTAGGAGCAGTTCGATTAGTTTTCTAAGCTAACTGGGATGTTTTTTTTGAGAACTGTGCATTATTAAGCATTTTGACTGATCCAACGGCACATACGGGGGCTGTGCACAATTTTTTTTTATTTGTTACAAAAAAATAAACATTACATTTTCTTCAAGCATGCTTCGCCATGTACACACAGTTCCATGCGTTCAAATCATTTGGTGAAATAGCTCGACCATATCGTAGCGGGTAACTATCCTTCGACCAGTTCAATGCAGGCCTCTACTCCAGTTGTCGGTGACTCGCATTGGATTCCACGCATCATGCACTTCACATTTGGCACCATACTGTTTCTTGAAGACGTGTCCTCATCATCAAAGGCAGCTCGCAAACGATCAACACTCTGCTGCTACTGCTGTTGCTTTAAACTACATTTGTAGTCGTAGACAATCTTGACCCCCAGTGGCATCGACTGAGTTCCATCCTTACGACAGTCCGAGTGTACAGCGACCCTCGTATGACTTGTGAATTGTGCTCCTGGCTGTATTGATATTTGGTTCTGTGTGTGAGTTGCAATCACTGAACAATCGATTCACANTACAGCTAATCGAAGATGCAGGTAAATTGCAAGCTTTTCTCGATAGCTTAAGCGCCAGCGTAGCCATTTTCGGTATGCGCTTTACATCTTTTAAGTGAAAAGACTGGGTTGGTTCAGCACCCAGCCTCACTCTCACTGGGGAAGCAATAGAGCAAGTGGATAAGTTGTTAGTTGGGCAGCTACATCTCACCCGGTGGACGTATCACGGATGAAGTGTCAGCTCGCATACAAAAGGCTCGGTTGGCATTTGCCAACTTGGGACATAGGTGGCACCGTCGTGACATCCGGTTGTCTGTGAAGGGTCGAGTGTATGCCGCGACAGTTCGGCCAGTCCTGCTATACGGTGCAGAAACTTGGCCATTAAGAAAACAGGATAAAGGCAGACTGTCGGTGTTTGAACACCGCTGTCTACGCAGCATTGCACGTGTCTGGTGGGGTAGCCGGTCAAGCAATGCTGAGGTTAGGCACAGAGTTTTGGGTAATCGAGGTCGCCCACTGTCATTCTCCTTTTCTGTTCGACACTACTTTCAAATTTCCTGTTTTCCTCCTATTCTTCATGCAAATGAGCAGCCAAAAGAAAGCAACCAAAACCGCCGCACGAAGGTGCATGGCTGATGGTTGAACAAATTGAAATTGAAACTGTGTCATCGTACAACCTTGGTCACAAGTATTGTCACTCTATGCGCGTGCTATTTTTTCGTTCTATTCATCAGTTGACCTTTTGCGTATCAAGTCAAATGATCAATTCCAGGTAAACTACTACTCTGACGTTTGGTTTTTATCCTGTCGTGCATCTAATCTGATACGGATTGTTGATCTTTGATACGTTTTCAATAAATATTGAGCAGAAAATTGGGCACATGTGAGATTGACCCGCTTCAACACACTTGTTCCTTTGTCACTTCGTTTCAGCTCAATGAGTTGGCACCATATAGTGCCGTACGGCCGTGGCATGTAGATCCTGTGGAGGTCAAACGAAGGCGGGATCTTCATGCACCAACTGTTTCCGGGAATCCGAACTCGGAAGATGTTCTCATCTTTAGTATTGATCCTCCCGGATGCCATGATGTGGACGATGCCCTGTCTGTACACTGGCTTGATCCAATCATGGCCGAAGATGGTTCTCAGCATAAACGCTTGTTTTTTTGAGAACTGTGCATCATTAAGCATTTTGACTGATCCAACGGCACATACGGGGGCTGTGCACAATTTTTTTTTATTTGTTACAAAAAAATAAACATTACATTTTCTTCAAGCATGCTTCGCCATGTACACACAGTTCCATGCGTTCAAATCATTTGGTGAAATAGCTCGACCATATCGTAGCGGGTAACTATCCTTCGACCAGTTCAATGCAGGCCTCTACTCCAGTTGTCGGTGACTCGCATTGGATTCCACGCATCATGCACTTCACATTTGGCACCATACTGTTTCTTGAAGACGTGTCCTCATCATCAAAGGCAGCTCGCAAACGATCAACACTCTGCTGCTACTGCTGTTGCTTTAAACTACATTTGTAGTCGTAGACAATCTTGACCCCCAGTGGCATCGACTGAGTTCCATCCTTACGACAGTCCGAGTGTACAGCGACCCTCGTATGACTTGTGAATTGTGCTCCTGGCTGTATTGATATTTGGTTCTGTGTGTGAGTTGCAATCACTGAACAATCGATTCACAATACACGAGATCACAGTTCACGTTTTCCTTCCCCTGTCATCTACACCTCGTACTCATCTTGGACTGTGTATCTGGAGCTGTTTCAATATTACGATCGCTTTATACTTATAGCCTAAGTCGAATCCGGGCTTACGGCACTTTTTCACCCGAGTTCACCACGGAAACTGGTGTTCGTCAGCGTTGCCCTCTCTCTCCTTTTCTATTTAACTTTGTCATAGATTTGATTATGGAGACAGCCCTCGTGCGAGGATAGTGGCATCGATTTATTTCCAGGTGGCTGGCCATTTAATCTGGAGTTTGCAGACGACATTGTACAGCTAATCGAAGATGCAGGTAAATTGCAAGCTTTTCTCGATAGCTTAAGCGCCAGCGTAGTCATGTTCGGTATGCGCTTTGCATCTTCCAAGTAGAAAGACTGGGTTGGTCCAGCACCCAGCCTCACTCTAACTGGGGAAGTAATGGAGCAAGTGGATAAGTTGTTAGTTGGGCAGCTACATCTCACTCGGTGGACGTATCACGGATGAAGTGTCAGCTCGCATACGGATGGCTTGATTGGCATTTGCCAACTTGAGACATATGTGGCACCGTCGTGACATCCGGTTGTCTGTAAAAGGTCGAGTGTATACCGCTGCAGTTCGGCCAGTCCTGCTCTGGTCACAAGTATTGTCACT